AATCTTTATCCATTGTATTAGGATAACATGAGTTAAGAAAAGTTCCAGTCTAATATATATATATATATATATATATATATATATATATATATATATATATATATATATATATATATATCTTCTAGTAGATGTCTATTAAGAAGAGCGATTTTTCTTGAAATCTATTTGCTATATTTCATATTGAGAATATGAATTCCTAGTAAAGAATATCCTTGTTGATCTAATCATAGCTATATGTGAAAAAGGTTCGATCATAGTCAGTGTCATGAGTATGATAAAGACCATATTTAATGACATGAATATAAGAAAATCCTTATATTACAAGTCTTTCTATAAATGTATATGGTTATCCATGTAATGTATTCTTTCTAGAAAAATCACTTACTCCTTCTAGCCTTGCTATAGAGAGAAAATTCAATCAAGACCATACTTGATTATCATACATGGACTAAATCTCACGTTGATGACTCTAAATCATTAATCAGATTTGAGATCTGACATAGCATCTTGGTATTTGATGGATTTACTAGAAACCATCAATAAAAGCTCATCAATGAGAGATTACACACTTCTCAAGTCATAGATGATTTCTACCAATAATGCGATCAATTTGTGTTTGTGAATAGCTAGTAAACAATCCTTGTTAAAACTAGTGACAATTGTAACTACATCAAGTAATGGTTCTTGAGCTACTTCAAGTTCCATGTACCTCCCATTTGCTTTGTCATTAGAATCTTGCTTTCTGGTAACTCAGCTATTAGAGGAATAAGAAAAACTTATTCTTGGTGGGTTTACTTATAATAATCTAAGCTACATTTAGAGTGTTATATACAAATATGTATTTAGTGAATTTTAGGTTTAAAATCTTTAGTCCAACATAGGCTATAAATCCATAAAACATTTATGTAAGATAGCGATGGAGCCTTTCCATACAAATCTTATGAAAAAATGTTATATCTACTAGTTACTTGGTGTTTGTACTCAAGGTACAATTGATAGTGTTCTAGGTGTTATCCAAATGAAATAAAATGAGGACATTTCTACCAATTAGAAAGAAAATTGTTCCAAGTAATATTTAATTCATACTTTATTTTCATTAAGGCTTTAGATAATTCTTGTTGGTTTGTATCTCAACTTTATACTTGAAAAACATAAACAAAGGGTTCATAATTATGTTTTACCATGTTAAATATAATTAAAACTATCATACTTATTAATAAAGTTGATTTGGTATCTTATGATAAATCTTAGACTTTCATTAGAGAGGAATTCATACACCATAGTGTATAGTTCCTTAATAATTATTTTCTTTACTACTTAGTGAAAATAACATTAGGAATCTTTCATATAAAAATAAGATTTATATATGTCAAATAAACTACATTATTTTCTTTCAAAGATCCCTTTCTTTAAATTGGAATATGTGCATGTTATTTATATAATAAACAAAGAATGTCAAAGATGAGTTTGATTTAAAACAAGTTTATTTCAAAAGTATTTTGCATATAGAACTTTTTATTTATTAAATATTGATATTTACTTTGTAATTCTAATTAAGAGATCTAGTCTCATAAAATAATTTTAATCTTTTCCAAATATGATGGTGAATGTTATGAAAAATGATTTAAGTAAATAGTCAATCATTCATAAATTAAACTGAGACATATATTTTAGGCAAGCTAAATTAAAACATATATTGTTCCAAAACAAACTACAAGTACATTATGTTTCAAGCATAATAAACTAAACCCCGAAAGTGTAGTTCCAACTTGATTATGCTCGGTTGGTTACTCTTTTGTAAATATTTTCAATCCATTTACGAATATTATTTTAACATTTAAGTACACAATACGTAAGTGTTATATGAAAAGTATAAGTTCTATCTAGTAAACACATGCATTACTAGTCTCTTCCAAACTTTCTTTCCTGGATAAGAGGAGCAGATTCTCTTCCAGTGTCTAGTTTCTCCACAAAAGAAACAAGATCCATATATGTGGGCCTTACTGGATTTCTTAGGTTTAAAGGTGTTCGGTCCATAAAACATAGGCCTCCTAGATCACACAGGGTGACTATTTAGGGCTTTGAACTATTCCTAGTCTGATGTTAGAAACATCTTTAGCATCATAGTGACACCTTTACTAGGTATCATGTTCAGGCTTATTGATGAAAACAAATAGTTTAGGAATTGGATCTTTAAGTGTATATAATTTCATATATCTCACGAGGTTGTCTCTTAAGACATGAACTTATTCATTATATTTTAATCTAGTGAATGTTATTGTTTCATTAAGTCATTAAAGAAAATGACAATTCATTGTAATGAGAATGGATTATTTTGAGAGTGCAAGAATATATGTGTGTGGACAAGGTTTGATAAATCAAACCTTGAATTAACTTGAGATTAATGTAAGTTGCTAATATTAAGAATCTAGGCAAGTCTGGTAAACCAATCTTGTCTTGAAATGAGAACTTCAACAAAGTATTCAAGTAAGTGAAAATTAGTATGAACAATGTAAAGATATATTAAGAACAATGGGAATGATAGAGAGAATGATTTGACTTGAAAGATACTTGGTATTTATATGAATGAGAATGTTGCTCTAACTGTCAGATTGCATCAAAATCGCATCTCCTTAAATAGACAAGAAGTGATAAAAAGACATGCTATCAAGACTGCATAGACTATCTAAAACTGCAAAGTGTTTGTCAAGAAATCTATCCTAAGTGACCTTAGAAATCAAATAACTCTACACTTAGCTTCATCAAATAAAAAGGGATAAGCACTATGGAGCTAGCTTCGGACTTTAATATACCATCTAAGATGCTCAATAAATTTATTCTTGATGTGTTCGAATTTTGACAGCATTGGTAATGAACTTATAAAAGATCTTTGTTGGAACAAGGTGTTTGTCAAGAAATCTATTAGTCTTCTTTTTAAGATATACATAACCGTGTTCCGGTTCTTCAATAGGGCCATCTGCTAGGATATGTGATTCAGGAAGCTCAGTAGTGATTTTTTCCAGAATGCTCTCCGTTCCGAAAAGGTGAGAAAATTCAATGTCGGATCGTCAAAATTTAGCAATATAGTCCTTTAGGAAGCTTATTGCAGTATTGTAGGCTCTAATGCTTGATTCACTTGTTTGGAAATCTCAGAAGTGAGCAACTAAAGTGAGAATGTCATTTAGGTTGATCGAAGGAAAGTCAGCATCCATGATTATGATGGTGGATTCTTTGTTCTGAGAAACATACTATCTGTACAACATGTAATTGAAATCAAATTTGCTATGAACCTTGTTACCATACCCGATGATATTGGTAATCCTCTTCCAAGACTACACTTCCTTTTGGGGTCGTGCGTTGACGGAGTAAAATATTCTCAATCTCTCACACTCAATTTTGATGATGGTTTGAGCATCACCATTTAGATGCAGAGGAGTGTACTTGATATATAAATAACCATGTGGAGAGATTGGCAAGTCAAGTTAGTCAACATCTTGTGTTGGAAGATCATAGTGCATTGGAATCAAGTGTATATCATGAATAACTCCTTCTCGGAAAAGAGGAGAGATGCCGACATCAGATTCAGGTTGTCTTTAAGCGCTTGAATTTGAATGCTTTCTTCCAAAGCTTGACCGATCTGTTCCTGAGACCAACCCTCAGACTTTCTAAATGTCTTCACTAGGTTGTCCGAATTTGTTGTAATCTGTATTCCTTTATCTTGGGGATTTTCACGTATGCCAAAAATAGAGGAAATGATTTGATGATCGGTTTCAGTGATGAATATTTCAGATGGGAGAGGAATAATAGGCTCTTTAGGGATATCATTAGGTTTCCAGATGGGAGAGCCTTCATCAATTCGAACGATCCTCAGATCAGGAATTATTGGAAGCATGGAGTGAATGGCTCGGAATGCATCAATTGTCAGCTTAGTCTTGAGCTTTGCCATGTCTCAAATTTGTTTGAACACTTCTGCTAATGATGATAGCCAAGAAACCGAGGACCATTTCATATTCTCTACTTCCGAAATGACATGTACGGGTTGTTCCCTGTTGGCTTGAAGTCCTAAGATCACAGTTTTAGCCAAGTATTCATCTTCTTCCTCACTTTTTTCAAGAGGTTTATGAGTTTTGACATCGAGAATTTATTCATCAGTTGATTCATCTTTGTGCACAAAATCCAAGATGGATTTCCATTGAATTGTTCTTTCTCTTTCTCCCCCTCTTGCATGCGACGACCCTACCTCTGATACAAGTACTACTACAGTTATGAGTTCCTCTAACCATTCAAAGACTCGTTGAAAACGTGTTGAGCTGTTTGGTGAGAGCGTTGTATGCCTTGGCTGTAGGAGCTTGAGCTTTAAGATAGACAAATTCTTCATCCAAAATAACGATCATCTCATCAAACTAGTTGCTCAGAACATCCACAATATTCCAAGATGCACGTATGAGCTTGATGAGCACCTGTTGCATGACCATGTTCACGGAATTTTTTGACAAATATTCTTTTCAAGTCTTTGAATCTATTTCTTATGACACACATGAGTCTGCTTGATGAGTTCATTGGTAGCAATAATCATGTCTTCATGAATATTGAGCATAATGGTGGTGGTAGAAATTTGTCGGTCAAGACTATCATTGTATTTATGTTCTACTTCTTTGATCGTGCGCTTGACATGAAGGGAAATAAGTTGGTCGAGCTGATTGGCTCGGTTAAGTTGTGAGGGAGTGGAAACTTGGATCTCGGAAAGAGATTTAATGTAACCTTTTGATCAAGCTTCAAATCAAGGTCTATGACTTTCTGATCAAGGGAGTCGGCTTTAGAGACAACTGAGGCCACATTGTCTTGAAGTTCTAACAGGGAAAAAGGATCTACAATATTTCACCTGAAGATCATGTGTCCGAGGCAGAGATTTTAGACTTCTTACCATCATAATCATCTGCATCATCATGTGGTTCGGAAAGCTTGAGGTCATCAACTAAATTAACTTAAGCCTTGTTACCTTAATCACTTTCCAAGGTAACTTTAGGAGAGCAATGCTTGTTCACTTCAGTATTTTCTTCTTCTTTGGATTCCTCAGAGGATAAAGAGAGACCAAAATTGTAAAATAGTTTCGAGGAGGAGGGCTTATATAGAAAGTTGAAAGAGGAAGGGATCGAAATAGCAATAATTTTTGTGTTGTTATCTTCAAACATGACCTCATTGGAGAGATCATCATCAATAGGATGATTAAGAGCTTCTTTACATGTGAAATTCGGAGGAGGATCATCCGAAACATTTGTAGAGTCGGGAACATCTCCTGGAGAAGTAATATTCTGAGCCTCATCGAAAGGCTTGAGAGCCTGATCAGTTTCTTTATCAGATGTAAAAGTGAAAGGAAGACGACTTCGTAGAGCACGTTGACGCATAGAAATAAGCATATATTCATGTAACAGCCCGGAATTTCAGGTATTGCTTTAAAACTATTTTTGGGGCATTTTTGGAAGGGACTCGGCGAGTTGGAGCCAGACTCGCCGAGTAGGACCACAGACTGGGTCGCGGGTTCGCGACTGGACTCGACGAGTCCATTATGGACTCGGTGAGTCTACGCTGTTCAGCAGAAACCCTAGCCGTTTGGTTTTGGATCGTATATAACGCCCCATATGCCGTCATTGTCCGTCTTTTAGCCGATTGAGAAGAACCCTAAGCGTCTGTGGATATCTAGAGCAAGATTAGAGGCTATTGGAACCTTGAAGAATTTGTTAGGCAAGAAGAGGAAGGGTTTTGGTCAAAGGAAGATCAAGGGGATCGAGTTCTGAGGTTTGGGGACACAGAGAGTACGTTTTTTAGGTAATACTTCGGATCATTCCTGTTATTTTGATGTATACACGGATTTAGGGTTTATGAAACCCATTTGGTGAGTAGATGGATTATTATGTTGTTACCCAAACGTTTATACCCCGGTAATAGGATGTTTAGAGGTCCAGAAAGTCCCATGATTGTGTATGTCGGGACCATACGTATTTCAGGAAGCAGTTGATCGACTGCATGGCATGGACTCGCCGAGTCCAATGAACAGACTCGGCGAGTAGCTTGAAGATTCACTGGGACTCGCCGAGTTGTTCTTCAGACTCGGCGAGTGGAGTCGGGGTGGCCCCGCGATTCTTCCACGAGGATCTCGTCGAGTCAAGGGGGATACTCGACGAGTAGAAAGGGAACATCAGGGAAAGTTGGAGAGGACGTCTCGACTCGTCGAGTCACCTTTGCACTCGACGAGTCCGGTCCAGTTGACCGTTGACCGGAGTTGACCTGCATATAATTTCTTAGGGTCAGTTGTCTTGAATGATAAGAGTATTAATAAGGGTATATGGTATTATAGGGAGTCTGCAGATCGGCGGATCGAGTGCGAGTGATTTCAAGAGTTGATAGTTTTCATTACCACGAGGTGAGTCTTCTCACTATACTATACCCGGAAGGGTTTGACTGTGTGACCGGAAGGTCGAATACGATGTATGTTATATATGCTATAAATAGAAAGGTAGTTGCTATGCATGATATGTATGTTTATACGGGCCGGAAGGCGATATGTTATGTGACAGAAAGGTCAGGTATGATATATGGTATATGTGCTATGTGCGTTAGATTAAATGTATGATGTGTTGTAAATGTTATGGGCCGGAAGGCAATATGTTATGGGCCGGAAGGCAATATGTTATGGGCCGGAAGGCGATTATGTTACGGGCCGGAAGGCGATGTGTTGTGGACCGGAAGGTCAGGGCCTGGAAAGGCGTATATGTGTAAGTCGTATACTGGGGAACTCACTAAGCATTTATGCTTACAAGTTGTTATGTATGTGTTTCAGGTACTAGCGAGGACCGTGGGAAGGCGCCGGCATGATGCATACACACTGCTGCTATTTGAGATCTTGGGGATTTTATATATGTATTTGATATGAAACATGGAATAAATACTATTGGTTGAATGAAATCACTTTATTTTAAATGAAAATTTTATTTGAAAATTTGCGTTGTTACAATTGGTATCAGAGCCTTGGTTTGAGGGATTCGGGTGTACCTTCGGGTGTAACTGAACTCAAACCGAGGATTTGAGGAAAATCTTTTAAAAATAATAAAGACATAAATTTTTATAAATGGTAAGTGGTAAACAAGAACGGAGCAGTGTGTACGATCAGCCAGCGCCCGAACGGTAAAGATCCCCAGAATACCTTACAATGTTATGTTATGCACTGAATTATGAATTGTTATGCATGCTAGAAGACTAGGTATTCATGATAGGACTAGAATGGCCTGTTTTGTGATGCCTTAGTCTAGGGAGTTTGCTTATATGAGATATTCGATAGCGTGCAGGTAGATAGTGCATACTAGAGGTAGAGTACTCACTATTCGGGGTTTGGGGAGGAAGATTTGGGACGAATACTGACACGGTGTGGTCGGTAGTATTGGGCCCGTACTACCGAAGACACCGGGTCGGTGGAAGACCCAAGTAAGAATCCCTGGATATCGGAGACTGAGTAGGGTTGCGTTATCGAGTACAATTGTACTTGATGGAGTCTCTGATAATTTTATGTTGTATTTCAGAGACATCATGGTTACCACACGTCATGGGGCGAGTTCGAGCAGTGTGAGCGACGAGGATATTCGTCAGATGATTCAGGAGGAGGTAGCTGCAGCGATCCGGGCTGAGATCCCGGAGATGTTTGGGTCTATTAAGACCACACTGATGGAGACGTTTGAGGAGCGGTACGCCGCACTGACTGAGGCTGCAGCCGCTGCCGCTACCGCAGCGTGGCCGCTGCCAGGCCGCAAGGGGGCGATTCGTTGCTGTTCCGGGAATTCAGCAACACGAAACCCCCTGAGTTCGATGGGACGCAGGATCCGATTGCTGCGATGAGGTGGATCGCCGACATTGAGGGGTGCTTCTACACTTGCTCATGCCCGGAGCACCTGAGGGTACGGTTCGCCTTGAACCAGCTCCGTCTGGGAGCGAAGGATTGGTGGAAGTTCGTGACGGCGAACTTCACTCTGGCGGAGATTACAGCGGTGACATGGGAGAGGTTTACTGAGATGTTCAGGGACGAGTACGTTCCCCCAGTGGAGAGGGAACGATTGATTCAGGAGTTCTTGACCCTTAAGCAGGGTACTGATTCCGTTGCGGTGGTCACACGGAAGTTTCACGAGAGGGCGATGTTCTGCCCGAGCTGGTGTCTACAGAGCAGTCACGGATGAGCCGGTATTTAGGCGTTTTGAGGAGGGATATCCGGGAGTTTGTGTCAAACTCCACCTATCGTACTTTCACTGAGCTTCAGGCGAACGCCAGGAAGCGCGAGATCGAGTTGGAGACCCAGGCCAGGGAGGAGGCCGAGTCTCGGCAGGTGGATCGGCGGCCGGCTCAGTCTCAGCCGGCAGCCAAGCGGATCAAGTCCGCTGATTCGAGGATGGGAGGTCCGAAGGGCCGCACTTGCGGAAAGTGCGGCAAGGGTCATGAGGGGGCGTGTCGAGCTGGTGGTTGCTACAAGTGTGGCAAGGAGGACACATTGCCAGGGATTGTCCTAAGGGGTTTATGGTTTGCTTTCACTGCAACCAGACAGGCCATCGGAAGGCCGAGTGCCCGCAGCTTCGTCAGGGATCTACACCGATACCAGGACTACTGAGACCCGACCGGCGAAGGTCGAGGCCCCGAGGGCTCGCGGGAGAGCCTTTCAGCTGACTGCGGAGGAGGTCCGCGCTGCGCCCGATGTTGTGGCAGGTATGCTGTAATTCACGTATTTACTTTAAAGTCGAAATGTTATGCTTATGTTAATGTATGTGTAGGTACTTTTCTTGTGAACTCTATGCCTGCTCTAGTGTTATTTGATTCGGGTGCGAGTAGATCCTTTGTATCTTTAGCTTTTAGTCAGCATATCAGCATTAGTCGTGAGCCGTTAAGTCGGCCTCTGAGCGTTTCTATAGCGGCCGAGAGGGTGGTTTGTGCCACGGAGGTTCTTCGGGGATGCGTACTAGAGATTTTCGGGGTTGCGTTTCCGATTGACCTAATTCCTATTGCGATGGGGGATGTCTGTGTCATCGTGGGCATGGACTGGTTGAGCCGATTCAGCGCTGTCATCGACTGTGAGCGCTAGCTGGTGACTATACGAGACCCTAGTGGGGGAGTTCTTACGGTATACGGCGAGGGTACCCGTTCGGGATCAGCTTTTTGTTCGGCCGCTAGGGCGAGGCAATGCCTACAGCAGGGATGTAAAGGTTTTGTGGCGTATGTGATGGATACGCGGGAGGCTTCAGAGACCGAGGACAGTGGAGGAGGTTCCAGTGGTGCGCGAGTTTCCAGATGTTTTTCCCGAGGAGTTGCCGGGAGTACCTCCTGCGAGGCAAGTAGAGTTTGGTATCGATCTGATTCCGGGGGCTGCGCCTATTGCGAAGGTGCCTTATCGTCTTGCACCTCCAGAGATGCAAGAGTTGTCCTCGCAACTCCAGGAGTTGCTGGGGAAGGGATTTATTCGGCCGAGTAGCTCGCCGTGGGGAGCACCGATTCTGTTCGTCAAGAAGAAGGATGGTTCACACCGGATGTGCATTGATTACCGGGAGTTGAACAAGGTGACGGTCAAGAACCGCTATCCGTTACCTAGGATCGATGATCTATTCGATCAGTTGCAAGGGGCATCTTGGTTTTCCAAGATCGATTTGAGATCAGGGTACCATCAGGTAAGAGTGCGGGATGAGGACGTCCAGAAGACAGCATTCAGGACGCGGTATGGGCATTACGAGTTCGTGGTGATGCCTTTCGGGCTCACCAATGCCCCGGCAGTGTTCATGGACCTCATGAACAGGGTATGCAGGCCGATGCTGGATCGGTCTGTGATTGTATTTATCGACGACATCCTAGTGTATTCGCGAACTAGAGAGCAGCATGAGGGACATTTGAGGGAGGTCCTTGAGGTATTGAGGTCGGAGAAGCTATATGCAAAATTCTCCAAATGTGACTTCTGGTTGCGGGAGGTCCAATTTCTTGGACATGTTGTTAATCAGGCAGGGATATTGGTCGATCCGGCCAAGGTGGAAGCAGTGATGAGTTGGGAGGCACCGAAGTCACCTTCCGAGATCAGGAGTTTCCTTGGGTTGGCGGGGTACTATCGGAGGTTTATTAGGGACTTCTCCAAGATCGCGGTACCGCTCACCAGATTGACCCGGAAGGGTGTTTTTCATGGGGACCCGAGCAACAGACTTCCTTCGAGACACTTCGTCAGAGCTGTGCGAAGCCCCGGTATTAGCTCTCCCGGAGGGATGGAGATTTTGTCGTATATTGCGACGCATCGATTTCGGGACTGGGTGCAGTGTTGATGCAGAGAGGCCATGTGATAGCTTATGCATCGAGGCAATTAAAGCCTCACGAGGCGAGATATCCCACGCATG